GCATCATTCGGGAGCTCTCGGGACACCTCTGCGTGGGGGGACATCGCCATGCGGTGTTAGAAGGCAGTCGGCAGACCTCCAGGGCCGCAAAATACCCACCCAAGTTTGTCAAGAAGATTGCCCGAGCGGTGACAGACCAGTGGAGTGGCGCCTCAGTCCGAGCCCGACCCACGTGGGCCGAGCTCTCCGAGGCCTTCCCGGCGGCAGACGACGGAAGCGAGCCTCCGGGCCAAGAGCAGGAAGCCGAGGCGGAAGGTTCCGAGAGCAGCGGAGATGAGCCAGAGACCCGAGTTGACCGGCGCAAGGCCGAAGTGCCAAGCGACCCCGATCCCAGCGAGGAAGAGAAGCGGCTCATTTTCAAATTGCACGTGAATATGGGTCATCCGGATTCCCGGAAGTTCTGTCGCGTGTTGAGAGCTGGGGGGGGTAAAAGGCACTTAGTGCGTTGGGCTCGCTGTAAGTTTCGGTGCTCTGAATGTGAGGAACGGCAGCGCTCGAGCAACCACCGGAAGGTCGCCATGCCCAGGACTTTCAGGTTCAACCACATTGTGGGGATCGATCTGTTCTACCTGGAGTTTCTTGGGACGACCTATCCGTTTATGAATGTAGTCGACCACGGTTCTAACTTGCAGGTCTGTGCTCGCCTGGCCGACGCCAAGGCGGTCACCGTGTGGAGGGCTTTCTCCACGAGCTGGGTCAGGCCCTTCGGGGCTCCCGACTTCCTGATATCCGATGGGGGGGCGGAGTTCGGAGAGCGATTCGCTCGCGGTCTTGAACAGTGGGGGGTTTGTCATCACGTGTGTGATGCAGACAGTCCGTGGCAGAACGGAAGGGTTGAACGTCACGGTGCCTGGGTCAAGGACCGCCTGAAGGCCGAAATCGACGCTGGAGTGTCCCTCCCCAGCAGTGTCGAGGAGCTCGATGACTTGACCCATGAGCTTGTTGCCCACAAAAACTGTTTTCGGCACCGAGGCGGGTTCTCCCCTCAGCAGTTAGTCTTTGGTCGCAACCCCCGTATGCCTCACGAGCTCCTGTCCGACGACGCTCGCGGTCTCCCAGGATGGCACGACGCCACCTGCCCTGCCTCTGAGCAGGACTCAGCAGGGGCCGAGTTTGCGCGAGCTCAGGAAGTCCGAGCCGTGGCCCGCAGACTGGCCATGGAGACCACGGCTCGGGAGAAGATAAGCCGTGCCTCGAGGGCCCGGGGACCTGCGTTTAAGGAGTTTACTCCTGGCCAGTGGGTGTTTGTGTGGAGGAACCTCAGCAGGACGTCATCAAGGGCGGACGCCCTTGGTCGAAGGAGAGCCTGCTGGACCGGTCCCGGGGTGGTCGTGCTGTGTGAAAGGGGAACGGTCTGGGTGGCTGTTCGGGCCAGGCTCTGGAAGTGCTCTGTCGAGCAAGTCAGGCTTGCGAGTCCTGAGGAGGAGTACGGTCTTCAGCTGGCCCAGAGTCCACAGTGGCAGGAGCTCCTGGCCCAGGTTCACACCCGGAGAGCGGCTGCCGTGGACGTGCAAAGGGAGGGACCACCTCCAGACGAGGCCTGGGACGAACCAGCCCGGCCCGACGTCGATCCAGGACCCCAGGTGCCGAGCACCTCCGGACCCGTCCCTCCGTCGGCTCAGGATCCCGAAGATGTCGGGGCGCCGCCCCCTCCTTCCCCTCCCTCGGTGGTCGGGCCTCCGCCCAACCCAAGGGAGCCTGTGCATCAGGCCCTGGGAAGACCGAGGGCCCCCTCGGAGGCGGGGTCGGCGGACGCCCAGGCCGGCAGCGAGCGGACCAGGCTTCCCTCCATCGCGGAGGGGTCCGGGGAGGATCTTGGACCATCGGGCGGAGGCTCCAGGCAAGTGACGGACCCCGACTCCGAGACGGGACCCGTTGGGGGTGAGGCTGGGCCAGAGAACCCCCCTGCCTCTCCTCCTCCTCCTCCTCCTGCTCCTCCGGAGGCAAGCCGTCCCACTCCCAGGACGAGGCTGATCCAGCCAGAGGACGTGCCCATATGCATCCGGAGGTCGAGGGCGCATTGAGCAGCCCACCGGAGGTCAAGAGAGCCCGACTCCTCGACGGAGATGCAGGGCCCTCCTCTCCCTCTCCTCCTCCGGGCCTCCCGCCTTCGGCCTCTGCTCCTGCCCCTCCGGCTCCGTCCTCCGCCCCTGCTCCTCCCCCCTCCCCGGGCGGCGAAGAAGGGGAGGAGCGCCCGGCAATCTCTCGGGCCGAGGGTAGGAGGCCAGTTTCGGACATCATCCAGGACTTCGAGACGGGCCGCGTCCGAGGCCGGAGCCGGTCGCCTCGCGACCGGCAGGAGGGTCAGGCGAGAGCGGAGCAGGAGATGGAAGAGTTCCTCCTCCTCCCCGGTGGTGGTGGTGGTGGTACCCAGGGGGTCCAGGCGGTCCTGGCCAGCCAGGTCTTGGGCGATCACAGTGACGACTGGACTGGACTGATTGCCCCAGGGAGCGGCTCATTTGCTGCCAGCCGTGGAGGCGAGGTCAGCCTCAAGCAGCTTACGCCCGATGAACGACAGAAGTTCCGAGCTGCAGACAAGAAAGAATGGGAGGCGATGATGGCCACCGGAGCGGTGGAAGTCATACCTCCCTCCAAGGCGGAAGCCGTGCGGAAGGCCCAACCGGAGCGGATCATCTCGAGTCGGATGGTCCGGCGCTGGAAGCCCGTCGAGGGCACCGGATCGGAGCCCTCGGCCAAATCCCGCTGGTGTGTTCACGGACACCGTGACCCAGACTCAGGATCTCTCCAGGTCTACGCCCCGACTCCCCAGACGACCAGCATCATGTTGTTTGTCCAGGTGCTCATGAACTTGGACATGCTGGCGGACATAGCTGATGTCAAAAATGCCTTCTGCCAGTCGGACCCCATGACGCGGTCGCAGGGAGACATCTACGTCGAACCTTGTGAGGGCATAGAGCTGCCGAAGGGATCACTGATTCTGCTGCGGGTCAACGTCTACGGCTTGGACGACGCCCCAGTCGCCTGGAGACGCACGGTGATCAAATTCCTCCAGCAACACGGGTTCATCAAGAGCCTCCTCGAACCCTGCTGGTGGGTGCGGTACGGCTCCCGGGGCCAGATCTTGAACATGATTCTCCTTGAAGTCGACGATTTCTTCATCGCCAGCGCAGACCCGACGACCAGGAGCTGGCTACGACAGACGCTGGAATCCCGATTCAAGTTTGGAAAGTACAGGAACTGCCACGAGGGCCCGGTCGACTTCGCCGGCCGGAGAGTGACGATTGGTCCTAACCGAGCTGTGTTGGACCAAGAAAAGTACATTCTGGAAGAGGTCAAGCCCATATCAGTGGCCCGGGGTCGCCTTGCCCGTAAAGACTCTCCTCTTGAACACTCCGAGTTCAAGGCCCTCAGGTCGCTGGTGTACAAATTCAACTGGGTAGGACGGGAGACCCGACCCGAGGCAGCAGGAGTGGCCTCGATCCTCGCCAGTAGGCTAAAGGCGCCGACCACCGGAGACGTGTCGTTGGCCAACCGTCTCGTCCGCCACCTCCGGTCCACCGCCTCTCGGGGGCTGACGGTGTGGAAACTGGATCCAGAGAGGATGGCCTTCGTCTCTTTCTCAGACGCCGGTGGCGTGGGCGCCAAGGACGACATGCTGGACGACAAAGGCCTACCCGACGACCCGACACAGGGAGCTTGGATGGTGCTTGCGGCCGACGCCGACGTTCTCAGCAATCAGGCCGTCAAGGCTTCGATGCTGTCCTGGAGAAGCTCCAAGCTTCGCCGGAAGGTGCCGTCGACTCTCGCAGGCGAGACTCAGGCTCTCAGTGCTGCCATTGCCGAGGTCGAGTACCTGCAAATCCTGTACCGGGATGTAGTCTTCCAGGACGTCAACGTGCAGGACCACCGTCGTGGTTCCGGGCCCTTCACGACCATGCTACGAAGCGACTGCCGCCTAGGCTCTCGTGAACGTCAGGTCCACGTAGTAGACGCCAAAAGTATCTACGACACCATGATGAAGGAGGGCAACGCCAGCGCCCGGGACAGGAGGACGGCCATCGACATGGCCATCATATGTGCCGCCCTGGAAGAAGCAAAAGGGAAAATCCGCTGGATTCCCCACGGCCGAATGCCGGTCGACGCTCTTACCAAAGACGACATCACCAAGGGCAACGCAGCACTGTTCGACCTCATGATCAGTGGGAAGCTGATTCTTGTGGACGAATCCGAGGAGGTAGAGCGACGACGCATGACGCCAGGACTCAAGAGCCGGACCCAGGCCGCCTCCAGGAAGACCTTAGAGAGCCAGCAGCTGGTGACGTGGCAGGAATTCCAAGACCTGGTCCAGGAGGTTGGTGGTGGTGGTGGTCCCTCCTCCTCCTCCCTCTCTCTCTCCACCTCTGCCTTGTCATCCGATGCCAGGTTTCAGTAAGTCTGTTGCTAGAGTGTCAGGATGTTTTTCCTGTTTTCCTTTCTTCTCAGAGGGTTACGCAGTCGTCTCAGGGGACGTACTGCGGACGGCGCAGGCCACAGGGGCCTAGCGCTTCGGGGCTGCAAAACCTGCGAGAAAGTCTTACCTGTGAAACAGGTGAGCATAATTTGTGTCTCAGGTTTTGCATTTAGTGTGCGTGTCAGGATCTCACGCGTACTCTTGTCTGGCTCAAGGGAAAAACATTTGCTGCGCTTGCTGCTGCCACACACACATAACTACACACATCCCAGGATCCCCCATATTTTCACACATGTTCTGGGTTTTCCTCTTCCCCCCACTTCCCATGCTTTCGTGTATCTTCCTGGGAATCGACGATTCCTTGTGTCTGTGCTTCCCCTCCTGAAACACGGCAAGTATCCCGGGCGTCTGAACCAAGACCTCAATCTTCTGAGCTGGCGTTGCAACTTCGGGGAGGGGGGGAGAGGTGGCTGCAGAGGCAGGAGCACGATGAAAACTCAGACTATGCACTGCGACGCACCCTTTCTGCAGTCCCTGGTTCTCATTCCCTGCCTCGCCTCGTCTTCGGCAACTCCCTTGCGTCATCGTCCTTGGAAAGCATGCTCTCAGACTGAGCCATCGTGACGGTGTAGTTCGATGTCTTGTTGTGCGTCTGCTTCTTGGCAGACCTGGCGCCCGAGGGAGCAGGCTTCGACATGCTGAATCCATTATTCCCCGCTTCCTGTTCCGCATCTCCCTTCTCCTCCTCCTCATCATCCGCCTCCTCCTCCTCCTCCTCCTCCTCCTCCTCCTCCTCCTCCTCCTCCTCCTCCTCCTCCTCCTCCTCCTCCTCATACCCCATCTACCGTCCCATCCCTCCCCTCCTCCTCCTCCTCCTCCTCCTCCTCCTCCTCCTCCCGCCACCTCCTCCTCCTCCTCCTCCTCCTCCTCCTCCTCCTCCTCCTCCTCCTCCTCCTCCTCCTCCTCTTGTTCCCGCTCCTGCTGCTATTCCCTCCGCTCTCGTCGCCAGCACCTCAAGTCGCGTCGGCTTCCCTCCAGCCCTGCGACCAGGAGCGTGGGCGCAAGGCGCGAGCCCGATCGCCGAGGGCCCCACGCTCCACGGAGATCCCCAAAGCGAGGAGCGGTCCAAGGCGGAGGGCCCACACGTTTCTGTCGCGGCGGCTTGGAGCCAAGACGCGGTTGGGGCAGCCGAGGGACGCTTCAGGGCGAAATCGGGCACAGCAGGAGCGGGAGAGGCGCGGAGCAGGGGGAGAGGAAGCCGACGGCGGCGGAGCACGCTCGGAGCATGAGGTTCTCGTGCGCGGGCTCCAGAGCACAGGCCTGCATCAGGGGCGGCACGCGCCGCGGACGGCCCCAATACCGAAGCCGCTGCTCGAGGCTCTCGTGCCAGCGGTGCAATCTCGCCCGGACCCGAGCCTGTCCCCCGGCTGCTCCGCCGCCTGCCCGCGGCCCGTCCGCGCTCGGGCGGCCCTCTGGTCGTGCCGGGCGGCACCCCGCGAAGCTGGACCACCCAAGCGCTCCCAATCGCTCCCAGGCTCTCCCAAGCGCTCCCGAGCGCTCCCAAGCGCTCCCCAGGCGCTCCCAAGCGCTCCCAGGCGCTCCCAGGCGCTCCCAGGCGGGTTCCAGGCGCTCCCATGCGCTCCCAGGCGCTCCCAGGCGCTCCCAAGCGCCGGCGTGGTCGCCCGCGGCAGCAGTGGGCCACGGAAGTACAGTCAACCCGTATAGTAAGGATGCGCGATAAGGATGCAAGGGCCCTGGAAGGCCACGTCGAAGCTTTTCGAGTGGGGCTCGGCCAACGAAAGTGGCCAAGGATGAGCCGAGGAGGTAAGGATGCAAGGGTACCCTTGGGAAGATTGGCCATCCTTACTATGCGGGTTGACTGTTTACAGAATTGCATCAGTTCCCCAACGTTTTCATCGCGCTTGTTCAAGCTCAGGAACCCACGGCAGGAGCCACGAGTGCCCTCCAGCCCGCGCGCCCCTCAGGATGCATGGCTCTCTTGCTTGCTTGCTAGAGTCGGGGGCGCGCAAACATGGATTAGCGATTCGTGGATCTGGCGCGCGGTCTCCAAATCAATGGATCGGGGAGGTGCCCTTCCCAAAATGCGGCCGGTGCCGCCTCGCTCGGCGGCGGAAACCCGCGACTTCCATTGGAAACGGGACCCGTCGCTAATCCACGCCCCCTCAATCCATGTTTGCGATCGCCTGCCAAGAGGTCGGAGGGCACCAACTATACGCCAACACCGACCTTGGCCAGGATCACCCTGGGCCTAAGATCGGTGCATACGCCATCCTGCCTTGGGCAAGAAGGCATCTGCACCGATCCTGGGCCCAGGGTGATCTCGGGTCGGGCGAAAGGGGGGGCTAGCAAAGGGGGGGTTTGAGAATCAGCTCACGTAGCTGATTTTCCCGGCGCCTCCCGGCGCCGGAGGCGGCTATGTATCGAGGAATGGGCCCCTCGGTGAGGCCGAAATCAGCTGCATGCAGCAAATTTCGTAACCCCCCCCTTTTCCAATCCCCCCCTTTCGCCCGGCCCGATGATCCTGGCCAGGATCGGTGTTGGTGTACAGTTGGCACCTTCCTATACGAGGAGCACGAAGCGACACGGACGCCGACCTCTGGCGGCTCTCCCGGATCGGCGCCGACGCCCCTCCTTGGCGCGCGGAGCAGGGGGCGGCACCGGGGGCGCCGCCCCGGGGGGGCCCCGGCACCGCCCCCAGGAAGCCGCGCGGAGAGAGAGAGAGAGAGAAGCAGGCGTGCGTCCAAGTCGCCCGAAGGCAAGCGCTGGATGAGACGGAGGGATGAGGAGGAGCCGACAACCAACCGCTATCGCGGTGGCTTGCCCTCCCTCATCCTCTTGATCCGGTGCTTCTGCACCGCTAGGGTCGGGGGGTGGTCCGAGGGTCCCTTGCGCAGGGCCGCTTGAGGGCCACCACCTTACCCGACTCCCCGACGTGGCAGGCGCAGCGATCACAGAACGCAACGCCGTTGACCTCGGCCATCCGATGGCCAAGGTCGTGGAACAGGGCCCAGGCCGCAGGGTCCCGCCCCCCCAGGAAGCCGCGCGGAGTGTCCTGCTGCAAGGAACGCGTGAAAAGCGACCCACATGTTTAGGGATATCTCTAAAAACCGTGGGCCTAGATTGGCAATGAATTCATGGTGTTATGAGGGTTAGGGGCTGCCTTATGCTTAGTGACTCTCCTCGAATTGGCGGGCATGGAGAAGACACCGTCGGCCAGGACGCCACACGCCATTACCTGTAATGAGCCCCCCCTACATGAGGAACTTTAGACCAAGTAGGCGGCAATGGCCTCGCTCACAGGGCGCCTACGCTTACGCACATTCGCCATACTTGCAAAACGTTGACATCTAAACTTGTTGGGAACAGAGGGCTGCAACGACGGCTTCCCGAGGCACTGTACAACTGCGTGCTGTTTTCTGCCTGCTGGCACGCATGTGATCCGCATCTTCAGTCTGTTTGCCAATGCGCCGTCGGGGCGCGGCGTCGTTCGTTCGTTCGTGCTCTCTGAAAGTCGATCTAACTTACTCGACTTCCTCGACCTTCCCGACCTGCGGGACGTGTGGATCTTCTCGAAGTCTGCCCGCCGAAGATCGAGGAAGATCGAGGAATGCCTCGACTTCCTCGATCTTCCCGATGATTAGGCCGTGCTTTCTTAGGGAAACGAAGAATGACATAAACATGACAACTCGGAGGCTCGCGCGGATTTCTCGGTTCGGCGCTGGACCCCCCTCCTCCCTGGCGTGCGGAGCGCGCCAGGGGCGGCGCCGGAGGCGCCGCCAGGGGGCTCCAGCGCGGATCCGAGGAATCCGCGCTGGCCTCCATGTTTTTCTGTTTATGTCACTGTTCGTTCCGCTATTTCTTCCTCGATCCTGCCGATCCGCGGGATACGAGGAACACCCTCCTCCTCCTCCACCTCCTCCTCCTCCTCCTCCTCCACCTTCCTCATCCTGCTCCCCCTCCTCCTCCTCATCCTCCTCCTCCTCCCACCTCCTTCTCCTCCTCCTCCTCCACCTCCACCTCCTCCTCCTCCTCCTCCTCCTCCTCCTCCTCTCTCCTCCACCCTCCTCCTCCTCCTCCTCCTCCTCCTCCTCCTCCTCCTCCTCCTCCTCCTCCACCTCCATCTCCTCCTCCTCCTCCTCCTCCTCCTCCACCTCCACCTCCCCCTCCACCTCCACCTCCACCTCCACCTCCACCTCCACCTCCTCCGCCACCTCCTCCTCCTCCTCCTCCTCCTCCTCCTCCTCCTCCTCCTCCTCCTCCTCCTCCTCCTCCTCCTCCTCCTCCTCCTCCTCCCCCCCGCGGGACATGAGGAACACCCCGGACTCGCTCTGCAGCGTGTACTTCGGGAAGAGCTTGCTGAGGCCGCCCCTCGGGGCAGGCGGGCTCCCGCGGGCCCCCGCGGCCAGGGGGCGCGCGCGCGGGGCGGCAGAGGGAGCCTCAGCGAGGGGCAACGTCGGGGGTTGCGCGTCGGTCGGAGGAGGGAGGTAGAAACAGGAAGTGGGAAGGCGTTGAAAATAGATTGGGCCTCCGCCCGCCCCCTGAGGAGGAGGGAAGAGCGGAAAGCGCAGGGAAGAGGGGAAAGCGCTCGATCCTTGAGACACGAAGGCGCCCAAAGTAGATTGGGACCCAAAATCAAGCAACAAAAACTACACTCAACGACCGACGGGTAGACCAGTTCGTGGAGTGGGGGTAACATTGAGCTGGACTCTGCGATGCATCGCCGAATCGGGGTGGTAGGCCCCCAGCGGCGAAGCCGCACGTTCCTGGGCGGGTTGGAGTTCTGGGATGCTCGGAGAACGCTGCGGCGCGCTTCGGCTTCTTCCTGGTCTTTCCTGATTGCGATCAGTCAAGGTCTGCTGCAATCACCACAGCGCTGTGCAGACATGGCAGGGCGAAGCGAAAACTACGCGTCACGCACGCAGGAGACAGCTCTGCTCCACGTTGAAACGGTCGTCCTGCGAAGGTGGCCGAAGCCCCGCCATGATATCCAAGGCGTCGCACTCAGGCGCCCCAGAGGAAGAAGACGCCTTGCCATGATTGTCAAGATTCGATGACGCTCCGAGGCACTGTACCACGTTTTCTGATTCGGCGTTTCGGCATTGGGCGGAAGGGGGGGGGGAAGAGGGGGGTCTGGTTCCAGACCTCTACTTACTGCCACTGTTTGCAGCAGTGCGGGCTCTGGGGAGACTCCACCCGCTCGAAGCAGGCGCCAAACAACAGCCAAGACCTGCTCCATGGAGGGGAGGGGGAAGGGCGGGGGGGGCGAGGACCCGTGCCGACCGGCAAAGCGATGCACAATAAATTTGGACGCCCGAAATGGGTACGGAAAGAATGGGCACTATGCCCAACAACCAATGTTGTCCCAAACCAACAGCGGCCGCTGTTGGGCGGGCGGCCTCCTGTCTCGAATGGACACAAGCCGCGGCGGCGTGGACAGCGGATCTTGTTCAAAATGAACAAGATCCGCTGTTGGGCATAGTACCCATTTTTTCAGTACCTATTTCGGGCGTCCAGAAGAAAGCAACGCTCACCGCCCAGGCTTGGCCTGAGACCCGCCAGCGCCCCACCTGGACACACGGGCGCCCCCTGCTGCGCCCTGACGCCGCAGGGCCCGCGGGGCGGCCCGCCGGGTGCACCGGGCTGGCCTCAGGCCAGGAGGAGGAGGAGGAGGAGGAGGAGGAGGAGGAGGAGCAGGAGGAGGAGGAGGAGCAGGAGGAGGAGGAGGAGGAGGAGAGGGTCGAGGAGAGGGGTGATGATGATGCTGATGATGAGGAGGAGGACGAGGAGGCCCCCGGGCAGGGGGAGAGCGGGGCGGACCGCGGGCCCGAGCCGTCGGGGCAGGGGCAGAGAGGCGGCCAGCGACCGGCCGTGCCTGGCTGGGCCTCGGGGGCTTCGCCCGGCGCTGCGAAGTGGTGGGTCCTCTGCCAGGAACTCGATGGGAGCCTGAGCCTCGTTGATCTGTCCCCAGCGGTGTGGCCTGGGCCCCACTGGTGGATCTACCCCCCCCGGATGGGGATATGGGATGTAGGCCGTTGCCTTCGGGTTCCGAGAGGTGTATCCCCAACTGGGGGGGTAATTTGGTGGGGTCTCGAAGGGGATGAGGATGGGGATGGGGGTCGGTTAAACGACACTGAGAGCCTGCTCTGGGACCCAGGCTGCTGCCGAGCTCCGTCGGGCCTCTGCCGTGTCTCGTCTGGACCCTGAGCGGGTCGTCGCCCGAAGAAGGGGCTGGCAAAATCCACGTGGGATCGACGGAGATCGCCATGAGGCATGAAAGCCGGCTGGCCGTCACTGCGGGAGCCCGTGTGAGCTTTGGCCAGGGCCGGAGGAAACTGGAAACGTCTGGGCCGGGGCTGGCCTGACTCCATCGCGCGCCGCGGCTCTCCCTGGTACCAGGCTTCTTGGCACGAGCCGCTCTTCGCATGGACCAGTGCTGGTGCGTGCCGCTGAATGCTACAGTCAAGTCGCATGAGAAGGATGCGCGGTAAGGATGCAAGGGCCGTGGAGGGCCGTGTTGGCGCTCTCGAGCGGGGTTGGCCAGCGAAAGTCACCAAGGATGGGTCGAAGGGGCAAGGATGCCAAGGGTAGCCTTGGGAAGTTGCTCATCCTCACTATGCGACTTGACTGCACCATCGCCTGCGGCTTCTGCACAAGGGCCGACAAACGTTGGCATGAGTCGGGAAATGCTGGATGAAAGCTCAAACAACTGTCGTCACAAAACTGGGGAAACTGTCGCAACAAAGGAGAAACGCCTACCCAAAGGCCAGCGACAACGGCAGTCCTCCCAGGCGAGCTTCGATCTGGGCCACGAGTCTGGCTTCATATTACCCTTTAATGCGATGACGCCCCCTCTTCCCTATAGAGTCTCGCGAGGCGCAGCTCACGAAAGATGTTCCCAGGCCCAGCTATCAGAAAAGCAACAGATGTCTGGCCTGCTCATCGATCCTGGGCGTTGCAAGCAACAAGAAACAGCGTCCTCTCTCTGATTATTCTGCACTCGATCATCCCCGCGTTCTTAGGCGAGGGGTTCATCAGAAAATTCTTCATGTCCGCTCTGGAGATCGACCTGGCTGCCGGTCCCTCCCCCGTCCCTCCCGCGCCTACTCCCCCATCCTGCCTGTCCCCTTCCACCTCTCCTCTCACTCCCTCCTCCTGCCACTCCCCCTCCCACTCCCATACGGCTGCTCCGCGGACCCCCTTTCTCGGGTGCGTGCTGACCAAGATTTCGAGGCGAATATGGCCGTGGCGACGGGGGCAGGGCAGCGGCATCGGCATCGTGTCCTCCTCTGAGCCCCTGCCCCGCGCCCGCTGCCCCCACTCCTCCCACCCCTCCCTCCCGGCCCTCCCACTGCTGCCCCACCCTCCTCCCGCTCCCCCCTCCCGACGGCCCTCATTTCACTACTTCGGCCGCCGCCCCCGCCTTGCGGCTGACTGCCCCTTCTCCTCCCTCTCCCATTCTCATCCCTCCCTCCATCCTCCTCGCTCTCCGCGGCCACCTTCCCCTGCTGCTGCTATGGCTCCGGTACTTCCCAACTCCTTTCCCCATCCCACCCCCATGGCTGTCCAAGGGCTTTCATCCGACGCAGATGGACCGAATCCTCGGCGTCGTGGAATCGGTTGAATTTGAGCCCATCCATGGAGGAGAGGGGTCGTCCCAGGGTATGCACCATCGGCTCAACCGATGGTAAGTGGTAAGAGGAAACACCAGCACGTCTAGAACCGATCGAAACGAGGGAAGCTCCTCCTCCACTTCCTTCTCCTCCTCGCCCCCCTCTACGACCGCTGTCCACAAGTTCTTGCTGCCATCTCGGCCGCGCCCATCCCCCGCTCGGCGTTCCCCTCCTGATTCTCATCCTCCTCCAAACCGTGTGACCCATCCATACGCCAGCACACTCCTGTGTCTGCCACTGTAGCGCCATGATCCAGAACTTATTAGCTCAGCCCCGCATCGGGCGCCATCCCACTGGCCTCCGACAATAT